ATGTAGTACATGTTGTGTATGCTCCCTTTTCCCTTCTCGGACACATGATCTATATACATATATACACCAACACACAAACAATGCTGCTGTATCTATATGACGATTTGGCACATATGTAAATTAATAATAACAGTATACCAGCAACAATCTCGCCACCCCCACCACCGATCCACAACCTCTAAAGCTTTGCTGTGCCACCTCTGTGCTCTGTGATCAGAATAAGAATAATAATGTGATGATTGCGCTCGCTGGTGGTGGTCTGGTCGTCAATCCTCGTCGTCGTCGTCATCGTCATCGTTATTGCCGGGAAGAGTCGTTCAAAGTTTTTATAATTTGTAGTAATTAAAGTAAGAAGTACGGGAGCAGAAGCGGGCACAGCAACATATCATTCATCATGTGCCGCATATATATACACTATATATTACTTCAATACTTTTCAACAATAATGTAACAACAAAATCGGTACAACAACGACGACGGAAACCGCAAAAGAAGCAGCAGCCGTGCTGTGTGCTTTGTCGTTGTATATTAGTAATAATAAAGTAGTACACCCTGTGGCCAAGTAAGTTCACCTCGCCGGTGACAAAATAAACAATTGAAATAAGACTGTGAGAACTATTAAGGCGTTTCACAGTGAGAGCTATTAAGGCATTTTTGAAATGTTATTTATGGAGCAGGCGCGAAGTAGAAATCAAGCCGCGAAGACACAGAAGACGACATGTCGCCATCTGTATCTGTCCCCATCACCGTCTCCCTGTGCCTCCCTCCATCCATATATGTTCTAGGTATAATATCCTTGTACGACAGAGTGTGCACGTGTGCCGTCCACGTATGTAAGATACATTCGTGTCTGCACCACATATGTACGTGTGCACATCTCTGAGCAGCCCTGTGCATGGTCTCCGCTTGATAATAGAGGTTGTTATTATCACCACATACATACATGCATACATACCCTGCTCTGTGAAGATGACAAAAAAGAGGTATATGTACTACTACTACTACTATCTGTATTCTTTTGCTTGGGTGGCTGGCAATAATTATATATTTTAAAATTACTCTGCTGCGGCCGCCATATGTATTATAGCATCATGGAGGGATGTTTAGCTTCATTCAGGGTTCATTACTATTGCTATGTGTGCTAGGGAGCTGAACAGGACTACACATTCGTGCTGCTGCTGCTGCTTCTGCTGCTTCTGCTGATACACAATAGCTG